AATCTAGATTAGATAATCATTCGAAATTGGAGTCAGATTAAATGCGGAGCTAAAGTTAAAGTGAAACTAAATTCTAAAAATTAGGTGAACATACACGCATTATACCTTCGCCCACGCCGTTGGATGGATTCCACTGTTGGGCTGACGGGTGGTCCTTTGTAAGTGTGACAGAGCGGTACAAGTTTAAAACACAAGCCCAAGTTCTTTTACTTGTAGGAAATTTGATTACTGATTATCAGGAAACGTGGGTAAAGTATACAAATATAATTTTTTTGATATAAAAGTTCAATTTAAAAGAGGAAAGATATCATTTTAAAGTGTCCTCAGTGATACTGTACAGCATCTGACAGCTCTTTATCTCCAATAACACTACAATGCAAAAAAATGTATCTATTATATATACAATAAAAGAACGTTAGGGAGTAATTCTGTCAGGACCACTATCGTCAAATACGATTGTCAATTGCATACAGTTAGGATTGGCGGTATGGTTCTGTTCTGAGCAAGAACTCCCTGTGCATCCATGCAGCCTAGCATGGATAAGACCAGGGAGAGCAGCAATAACCCCCCTTAGGGTAAACAGAACAGAAGCAACATGAATGTATTGCAGATATCATTAATTCAAGATTTTAAAGTACAACATAATTCGAGAATTTATTCTGATTCAAGGGGAATCTGAATGCCATACTGACTGACGAGAGGAGGAGCTGGGGATGGAGGAGGTTATTAGCTCCTGAGAAACGCGATAACTGCTGATAATACTGAAGGAGCTTATATATCTATAGAGTTATAGGCGTTGTATCCTATAGGTAGACGTGGATCAGCTGAGTGTCAGCTGATGCGAGCTTGACTAATGACCTGCCAGAACTGACGCTATGCTTAATAATTTACAGTTCACAGAAACACAAATTATACTAAATCACAAGAATAATGTCTCACTGTTAGAGGTGTGTGGCTGGCAACTCTGTTTCAAATAATCAGAAACAACAAACAAGAACAGAAAAAATACATAAACTACATCAACCTACAGGGCTGAGGTTCCCCAGAGGAGTGATCACCAGAGCTTGTAATCCAAAAGCACACATCCAGACACATGCACTCAGATCACACAACCAAACACTTCAAAACTGTCACATGGCAAACGCACCACTACAATAGATCCTTCACCCGTGGGACCCCAGCTCCTGAAAGAAAAATCAAAGATAGATAAATAAAACTTCAAAACATAATTAAATAGAACCACAGTTGGATGATGTCACACAATTCAGTCACGTGGAAGACAACAGTGATGGCTAAATCAAAAAAATAAATCACAATATACTAATATTCAAAACAGTAGAAATAAAACAAAGAAACTCAATTCAAACAACTCGCACGGAGCAACCACGTAATTTAGAAAAAAGAAGGAGGCGGGAACCGGCGAATGTTCAACAAGTTTAATAATGAATAAACAAATACAAAATGAAAGTATAAGCCAGCAGCCCCTCACGGACGACTGCTGGCACACAAAACAGAACATAAAATCACAACTTAAAATCAGGCCTGTTCCTCTCTCGATCTTCACTGTCGTCGCTCCCTCTTTATGCTTCTACTCCTCTGTGAGAGATGCGAGACCGGTGCGTCTCACAGGTGTCGTTCATTATCACTCACGCCACCGGCCTCGCGCCACTCTCACGTCCCTCAGCCTCATCCTGCTCGCCACAGTGAGCAGTCATCAACTCCACTACTGAATCAAGCCGAAGGAAACACGCAGCGAGATGAAAAGACAGGCTCGGAAGCAACAAACAAATCATTAATGCCACACGAACAATAATTAAAATGTTAGAAAACTGCTACGTGATAACGGCACATACCTGCAGCTACTGTCAACAAACAGAGAGGGGAGGAGCCGAACGGGACGCATCACAGGCTACAGCCAACCAGGTCTTAAATAGGAGACACCCTTCGCTGAAAGGTCTCACAGCACTTACCTCATTCATTCTGTCACAATCCACCCCCATCTTCTGCACAGTCGCCCTGACGTTGAACTTAAGTAAACTTAGCCTCTGAACCTTCAGTTCCAAGGCCGGAACCAAGCAACAGCTGCACTACCCACTATACTAGACACTGTACCTACCCCCAGTGATCGGGGGAGGTGATGTACATTAGACTGCTGCCCAGCACTGGGCAAATTTGGCCAGGATGCCGGGGTTACACCCTACTCTTTCGAAAGACATCCCGGGATTGTTTGTGACCACAGAGAGTCAGGACCTCGGTTTAGCGTCTCATCTGAAGGACGGTACTCTTCAGCCCATTCTCATCCCTAGGCGTCATGAAACTGACGCCTTGGGAATCATTTTGACCATGCTTCAATATTCGACGCTTTAGGCACCCTTTAGCGTCAGTTACATGACGCGATCCTAGGGCGTCATCTTACTGACGCTTTACCTTTAACGTCAGTTAGATGACGCTATCTAATCCTAACCCTACCCCAGACCTAAACCTACCCGCGTCATCTAACTGACGCTTAGGTAAAGCGTCAGTAAGATGACGCCCTAGGATCGCGTCATGTAACTGACGCTAAAGGGTGCCTAAAGCGTCGAATATTGAAGCATGGTCAAAATTGTCATTTTAGTGACGCCTTGGGGTGAGAATGCGTTGTACTCTTTGACAGTATAGTGTCCCCATCACTATACTGAGGCGTTAGGCTCCACATAGACCACAGGGTGAGCGCCCCCTGCTGGCCTCACTAACACCTCTTCCAGCAGCAACCTGGTTTTCTCAGAAGGTCTCCCATCCAGGTACTAACCAGGCTCAGCCCTGTTTAGCTTCAGTGGGCCACCACCAGTCTTGGGCTACAGGGTGATATGGCTGCTGGAGCAAAATTTTAAATGTCAGAGCATGTCAGAACACCTCCAGGGCCCAGAAAACAGCTCAGCATGTATGTAAAAGTTTGTAGTTTTGAGAAAATAACGTTTATGCGTGGTTTGTGAAAAGACAAAAAAATGTAAGTCACTGAAATAAGGCCATAAAACCCATACTGACTATTTGTTCACTGCATTCACCTCACACCCGAGAATTAATAATCTAAAACAAGGAAACGTGAGCTTCGGTGATAACTAGACGAATATTTAATGACTAAAATAGTAATTTCTCTCTAGAAATGACATCAAAAGTGGAAAATGTGGGACAAAAACATTTACAAACAAACTGACCACCAACTTTCCGACGCCATTATATTTTTTAGCTCAACTGTCACAGAATGGAAAGCACAGGATTGTGGGATATCAAAGACAGCGAAGGATACATATATGCTGCCTTCATATATAAGGATACATAAATGCTAAAGCTAATATTGGATTTGGACGTGCCAGTTCTGCCTTGGAATACATCCTCCCAAAGCAGCATTTTTAAGTTTTTAGATGCAGCATGTGTGCTGAGGCAAGTTGGAGCTAAATTCTGCTGGACAGTGACCCTCCAGGACCATGTTTGGACACCACTGGTCTAAAGTGTTCGTTGCACACGCAAGCAGCTCTTGATCGGTTTAATTAATTTGATACATTTATTATTATTAATATGATCAAATATGATTATTTTTACAGTGCAGTTGTAATTTGTCAATTAACAGTAATAAAGTTGTTTTCATTTTTATAGTTTAACATATTATTATTATTATTATTATTATTCAGTTGGGGTCTTAAAAACCAGTGTGAATGTAATGTGTACTGAGATACATTTTACAGAGGTTTGAGTTTAGCTAAAAAGTTTTTTTTATTTTTTTTATCAAAATATTATAGCCTATCCTCAAAATGTAGAAATGTACATTTCTGTGTGCTGCTGTAAATAAATACTTTAAAACATGACTATTTAAGTATTACATATGTATGACCACTGGCATTCACTAGAAACATGAGAGCTAACTCATAAATGAAAAACGGAAAAAAGGCACTCAAGTGGTTAAAGATAAAAGTCTAAAGATTGAAATAATAATAATAAAAAAGATTTAAGCCCAATTTATTAAAGACATGGAATTGCCTTGGGAATTTTCTATTTTTCATCAAAATAATATATAACATGAGAGAACCGTGAACATGCAAATGTGTTAATTGCACTTGTTTACTGGCAAATAAACTATATCGAGTCCATACAAATCCATACAAAATGGTAAAAGGAAACAAAAAGGAGAAGAGAAACCCATGTTTAGAGCAGAGTCTTTTTGTGTCAAGCACATATACTTCCTGTATTGTATGCAGGTGACTATAGCCACAACTGCAAGAGCATTTTTTTTTCTGAGAATATACTCACTATGCTCATTTTAAAAAATGAAGAAGAAAAGAATAGAAAAGCATGCACTTTTTTCACATTTATGAGGTGTTGAATATATATTTAGTTTAAGTAAAACTGTCCGTTTACAGAGATCACTCAAAAAAGTAAGAAAAAAGGTGGTAAAGTAGCACCTCTATCAGACCACATCCTGTTATGAATTTTGCTATACCTCTGTGGTTTGGAGCTCTTTCACATATATCATCTCAGTCTTTCCAAGTCAGCACTTAACTTTCATTTCACACACTCACTACAGATCAGTCCTTTTCATGCTTTAATGATTTAAAGTTATCATCTGCTCATCAACTAATCTGCAATCAGGATTAAATTAAAGAGTAGAAATTACTAGCTATATATTCTATAAATGTTCATAGATGTTTTATACAGTAAAGTGTTTGAGATTGAGCAAAATAATTTTAGTTGTCCATTATTCAGTTAATCTCTGTGTAATATGACTGGCTGTATGTTTGGTGACAGAGTGACAGATTTTGACAAGCAAAACATCTTTTGTTGTTCCTGAAACAACACACTGTCGAACAATTTTAACCTTAATGTTTAACTAACCATAAATACAGAGAGAAATAAGATTGATACGAATGGCATTGAAGCTTCAACCTCAACCCTAACCTAAACCTACATTGATTGGAATGTTGTTCCAGGGCCAACATGTTTTCCTACTAGGAAAGATCACAGTAAGCTTGAAGGCATAATGATGATTTGTAATGGTTATTTGTCATTTAGAAGACACTTGGGACACAAACATATTTTACACAAACATATTCTCACACACCCCTGAACACACGTAGCATTCGCTTATATGTTACTCTGGTGGTAACAATTCAGTTACCTTCAAATGTCTGCAGTTGCCACACACACACAAACCCAACCCACCGCACCCCAGACAGCAACATAGTGTCGGCCCGGATCCGGCCCACGTTGATTCCACACGTTTAAATCAATGGGTTCAGAGCATTTTATGACTCTCAGCATTTAGTCACCTGTAAACCAGATGTGTTATTATTTAGGTAGTTTATGTTCTTTTCAGCTTCTTGCTTCACCAAAATCTGAATGAGAAAACTGACGCTATACCCACTATTGCAACCCTTGCAGAAATACTAAAAGTGTAACTTGCATTGTGTTAAGAATTGCAGTCTGACACATTTTGGAGCGCAGCAAGGCACGTACTTAACATTAAGAACTTACTTGCTCTAACCACTGAGCAACCACACATCAATTGCATGCTACAGCAGACTTTGAGATCTTGATTGGTTAGAGATCAAGTGGGAAATAGGACACATTCATAAGCTTGCAGGAATGAAGTGTAAATAACTGAATTAGAGCAGTGGAAACAATGTGCATAATTCTTAAGATTTTGCTCAATGGAGTTGCTTTTCATCATACACTTTCCTAAGGTTTAGTTAATGCCAGTTGTTTATTTCAGTGCTGAATCTTTGGGAACTCATAGTGCTTGATAAAGCATTGTCATAATTGACAGAAAATGACACAGAGATTGCCATCATGCAGTCCATAATGCTCATGTGAGACTCGACTCCTGTTTTTATCGACACTTAAAGCAGGAAAGTCATAAAAAACATGAGACATGAATTCTAGAACATCTTGAGAACAGAAGAGTTCAAAATGGAATGAACCTTCTACTGCCCAAGGTCCATACGAAGAATTCATCAGATCAACAGTCAATGGAGGTATGAATGAGGTTTCAGCTGCCCTCCTCTTCCTCTACGGAGTGATTCAGACCAGGGATGAACTTCAGAAGGTGCTTGCGGACGCTACCTCTTCTGCCTCTCCTTGGCAGGGTCCCAAACATGGATGAAGGTGAATTTTCCCAGCTTGGGGAGAGTGAATTGTTACTGCTGGTCAGGCTAATGCTGCGTGTTCTTGTCAGGGGTCGCAACACCCCCCCCTCCAGCTGGAAGAAGCCGCCATTTGGCTCAGTGGGGCTTAATGGACTCGGATCATCAAATACTGGTGACATGAAGGCACCATCCTCACTATCATCTGTCATTATGCTGCGGCAACTGCTGTCACTGGAAAAACGCTGCCCAGAGTGGCCCATTGGAGATGAAAGAGACATCATAGAGTCAAAAGACAGATGCTGAGCACCTTCATTCAGATTACCTGACACACAGAAAGAGATAACATTAATCCTAATGGCCCTTAATCATTCAACATCCGAAAAAACATTAGCCTTTTGAGTAACAGAGTATCAGACATGGGACACAATGAGGGTTTCCTAAAAAACTTTAAAACAGCTTTTGCTAACAGCTTCACAACTTCAGATGAAGCAGAGACTTATGCACAACTATAACAAAGCACACATCAATTATCATTGAGGAAATTACACCATAATAAGAACAAAGGGGACATAAAACTTTAAACCTTAATTTCTGCAATATTTAAATTCAGTGTTTATTTAGTCTTTTCGGATATATGTAAATATTTATTATGCTGGGGTGCAAATTTAAGAATGGAAGCAGCATCTTTGTTTTTGTCCAACAAAATGATCTTGAATGAAAATGTTTTTCAGAACTTCGTATAAACCTAATTTAAAGCTGAATTCTTCAAATAGATTTGGAATTCTTCAAATCGGAACTCTCTCAGTAAGATGTATGCCCCTGGAACAGTTAGAGATGAAACTAAACTGAGTAGTTTCGGGTTGTTGTTTTTTTTTCTCACCTCGAGTAAGACGCTTTTCCTGAAGTGTGAGAGATTGCAGTTCCACCCATTTCTCACGAAGAGTTTGCTGTGCCGAGGGAAAACATGTAAAACACAGAAATGAGATCAACGTCTATGAGTCATTGTGGTAAATGTGTATGTACAGTATGTTGATCAGCATTCATTTAGATGCCTCAGCATTCATGGTAACAAATACACTACATTATATACAATTCAGACTGCCTGATATTTCTCAGTTATTCTGTGTATCTTTCTGAGTAAGGTTTCAGCTAACCATAGTTCATGTGGTAAACATACAAACACACACTAACATGCATAAATACACACCTTAAGGTAGCGCATCTTTTTCTCTAATTCAATTCTCTTCACAACACTCCCGCTGACTGTCTCCAACCTTCACACACACACACACACACACGCATTCAGAAGAGGAGAAAAGATGGTTTAAATTAATACATGATGGTCAAAGCATCTTTTTTTTTGTTGATGATTATGTAATATACACATTTTGTTGCTAGTTGGTTGTTGGTTGCTAGGGTGTTCCGCTAACAAGTCCATATTCATATAAAGTTTTGGGTTGCTAGGTGGTTAGACATTAGCCCAAGTCAAAAGAGTCCTTGTCAAGTCTCTGTGATATTCTGGATAGGGTTGTACCAGTCATTCGTAAGTTTTTACTTACATTGGAACATTAAGTCCACACTAGAGGCTTAGTAACTACTATCTAGTTTGTAACTAACTCTGTACTTTATTCGGTTGCACCATTAGTTCATAAGGCAGAACGTAGCTAGTAAGTCATGCGTAGTCACATAATATGTTGTTTACCCTCAATGATCCCACAACAGCCTTCAAATAGAGCAGAAGTTGTGTTGAAATGCTGTGACTTTCAGTTTATCCTTCATTCTAAATTCTTTTACCTCATAACTAATTGTGAAAATAAATTTCCACTAAATACGATACTTAATCATGAATAACATAATTGGTATTTTTATATGTAAAAAAAAATCAGAAATTAATGTCTTTAATTAATAATGATCAATAAATAAATACTGATACAAAATACAAAATAAATATTTATTTATTTATTATGACTAATTTTCTTTGACACAACATAGAGCGATGCACACAGCTGCACGCTGTTTAGGACGGGTTCGGCACAGCTGGTGCACATGTTCCCTGGTCTCCCTAGGATTTTTGTTTTCCATCCATTTTATCATCCATGAGTCTGATCACTCAGTAGCACACATCTTCTCAACACACTGCATTATTTATGGATAGGTTATCATTCATGACCATATAGCACAAAAATATTATTTACTTATACTCACTTCAGCATGTTAGTGGAGTCTCTAATCAGCTCAATGATATGTTGGTGGGTAGAACCCTCAATACTGACTCCATTTACTGACAATATGATGTCACCTATCAGAGAGAGAGAGAGATTTAAAAGAAAATTAGACTAACACTCATTACACAGAGCTGGCAATTTTTCATGTTTAATTTAACCTTCTTAATTGCATGCTTAGAGGTGAAATGAGTGGTGTTTTAGTGTTGTTGTTTTAGCCTGACCAGCTCCTGTCATAGCTGTCTTTTGGTAGATTGACGTTTGTTTGTTTGTCTGTGTTTGTTTTGTTTGGCAGACAAAATGAGTGTTTGGGAAACCTGTCATAATTTACCCATTTTTTTTCCAGATACTAGTGACATTAGAATTCAATATTAGTTCATTTCACCTTTAACTAATGTTTCTTCTCATATATTCTTTTAGTTAAATGTACTTTTTTAAAATTGTAACTTTTTTTTAATTTACTAGTTTACTCTGCACTGTTATTTTTATTTTAGTTTGTTTGGTTTTGTTTCTGCACTATTGATATATATTTGTTATATATGTAAGGGATAATCTACGACTAGCTGTGTATTAAATGAAAGTGGTTGCCTCCGCAACATGCATTAAAATTGTTTAATGCACAGCTAGCAATCAATTATCCGGCTTGTACCATGGTCATTTGTCAGCATTGACAACTTAAAGCTGTTATTGATGTTTACCGTGCAATATTTGACCAGAAGGGTAAAATTGTTGGTTATTTTCTTCTGTGTATGTATACTTTGATCCAGCATTCTGCCTGCTTTGAATCAGACACAGAGATAAAGTAGTGCGTAATATTACATTTATTTGAATGAATGAATTATAGCATTTATTTGAAATAATAATCATCGAGAGAGAGAGAGAGAGAGAGAGAGAGAGAGAGAGAGAGAGAGAGAGAGAGAGAGAGAGAGAGAGAGAGAGAGAGAGAGAGAGAGAGAGAGAGAGAGAGAGAGAGAGAGAGATGAGAAATGCGTACCTGTGTCTGTTCAGTATTTCTCTCTCTCTATTAACAACGAAGTTGTGAGTTTAATTACTTCAAAATAGCGATGGAACCCCCTCGTTGCTGAGAAATATAATGTAGTTATTGAGTAGCGAAGCTATTTTATTATTAAAAGTCGTGGGCAGCATTGATAAGTTTCTGTGCTCCTGAATGTTTCTGTGTGTATGCAGCGCAATCTCCGCTCTGTGTGTGAGTGCCATGTGCGTGTGTGTGCTTCAAATAAAACTGACTTGGAACGACCTGTGCAAATAAAGTTTTATTGCACACCTTACAGCCAATCAGAATAGAGTATTCAGACAAACCTACTTTTTTTTACAAGTATATCCATTTGCACTACTGTTACTTTAGCCTACATTGGTTTAATTATTTTGCACAAAAAGCAGACACAGATCAACGTCTGCTTCTTTGATTTTCCCACTTGTGATATGGAGCTACTTAAACAGTAAAACCTAATGGACTATAAATAGATTGAGATGCCTGCTAAGTTTTTCAAATGTAATGCACTCAAATTGCGGTAACACTTTATTTTAAGGTGCTTGTAATAAGCAGTAATTAACAGTTAATAAGACACTTATAAGACCTTATAAGATGCATATAAGATGCATATAAGCATTAACTAATGATAATAAATAAATTAAATAAAATAATAAATTTCTCAAGTATCAATACATTGCACTTTTAGAACAGCCGAACAAACATAAATGGTAACACAAACTCCCAGTCACTTAAAAATGTACCTTCCCAAGAGGGAGTAGTTTCCCTGATCTCTTCAGGGCCTGGACCTTTAATTAACCCTTATATGAAGTAGGTAATGCTTATATGCATCTTATAAGGTCTTATAAGTGTCTTATTAACTGTTAATTACTGCTTATTACAAGCACCTTAAAATAAAGTGTTACCCAAATTGCTATTGCCCAGCGCTGCAGCCTTTTGTGCAATTGGAGTAGTGAATTTAATGCTGTTATCAACCCTTTTCATGATTAGTTAATCATACTGTATGTAATCATAAAAACAAATCATTTCTATATGTAATACTTATTTCAAATGGAAAGACTTTACCTAATCACAACAATGACCATTCACACTTAAGTCTTAAATGGGCTGTTTAAATCAGACGGTCAAAAACAATGTAGGAAATTTCTAAATGCTGATAGTTTTTGATGTAAATATCTTATTAACATTATAAGTGGACCTCAGGTAACATTAAAAAGTGTACTCCATTGAATTGAAATTGACAGGCTGATTAGTGCTTGCCATTGAAAAAAAAATGCTTCATGCTTGAGAAAGCATGAAATGACAGTCCGTTAAGACAGAAGAGAGCAATACATCAGCTGTGTTAAATGTAGATGTGGTTTAGGCTGGTGAGAAAATAACATGTAAACAAGGTCAGGTCAAATGGGTGGAGTGAGTAACACTTTGACAAGAGGAAACGGAAAACCTGCTCACCAGCAGTCAAACCTGCAGTTTCGGCTGCACTGCCATCCTGCACACTGCACACAAATGTGCACATCTCCACCATACTGCTGTTCTTCACCTTTAGACCATATGTCTGCACAAAGAGACACACATCCCAAAGAACCATTACTGAAAATATCATTAAAAACATTTATGCCTGTTCTAAAAAAGATTCGGTCACACTAAAATATCAAAGGAAGTTGCATTTACAACTTTGGAGCCATAAAAAAAGCATTGGTAACACTTTATAATAACTGCACGCTATTAATCATTAAGTAAGCATGAGTAAACAGTTAATTCATCATTTATAAAGCATTAATAGACATTAATAAGCAGTTTGTAAATACAGCTATGAATGCTTTTTTTCTTGATTTATAAGCATATCTATAATGTGTTTAATAATTGTATTTTCATACTTTGTTAATGATTAATTAATAATTTCTATATGAAGTATAGCATTATTTACAAACCAGTTATTTAAGAGTTGTCAGTGGTTCATAAGATCACTTAGAAAGTGTAAGTAAATGGAGTAAATTCAGGTAGTTATAAAGCATTTAGTAGTGGTCAGTTAACTATTTTTGTGAGCTAGTTATGCCTTGTAAAGCATTTATAAAGGAGAATTAAAGACTCAGTTATCTTCTAAACAGAAAAATGAAACAAACACAACACAGTGATACAGAACAGAAATTATTAACAGCATTTAAATCTCCTTTGTTAATGATTTACAAGGCATAAATAGTCCTCACTTTAGATGAGCTCACAAAAATAGTTAACTGACCACTACTAAATGCTTTATAACTACCCGAATTAACCCTGAATTACAGTAGAAACACATGTTAATAAAGCATTTATTAACACACTAAGTAACTATTACTATACGTCTGAATAATAAGATGTATGAATGTACATTTAAATAGTTTATTAATCATTTACTTACACTTTCTAAGTAATGTTATGAACCACTGACAACTTTTAAATAACTGGTTTATAAATAATGCAATACTTCATTTAGAAATGATAAATTGATCATTAATAAAGTATGAAAATACAATTATTAAACACACTATAGATATGCTTTTACATCAAGAATAAAGCATTTATAGCTGTATTTATAGACTGCTTATTAATGCTTTATAAATGATGAATTAACTGTTTACTAATGCTTAACTAATGATTAATAGCGTGCAGTTATTACAAAGTGTTACCAAAGCATTTAATGCAGTGTGAAGCATTGCTTATGAGTATAAAAACAAACCTGGACTTCAAATCCAAAGGCTTCATTGTCTTGTTTCTCCAATATAACCACTGTTCTGTGCAAAACAGGAGACATGTGAAACAAATATTTGCATGAGAAACATCAGACATTCATAGAGAATCAGTAAATCAGTCTTACCTCTGAGGATCAGTATAATCCACCAGAGATGTTGAGTGTGTTCTGCTCAGCTGCAAAAGAATAATTCTCAGATTAATTTAATGTGATTAATCAGATTAATCCAAAATTATGTAAAACTCCAAGAATCTTGTAGGAATTGTTATTTTGCAGGAATGCATGTTAAATAAATCTAATTTGATCTTGAATAGTTGATCCATAACGGCTGAAAACTGATAAATAAATTTTAAAAATCAAATAATATTCATTCAGGATATTTTGACAAAATGGATTAGGACAGTTTATTATGTTAGACCAGTTAAGGTATATAATTATAAACTCTCTGCATTCATGTTGCCATAAAAACATATATCAAGATCCCCTCACTGTATTTTGATTGTCTCACCTGACTGCGTGATAATGTACCGCCTTTGATTTCTTCAGTGTTCAAACTTTTGGCACTGTTGAAAGAGCGTCGTCGCCAAAGTGTGCTTTTCTTCTTTTGAGAGCTGTCGATTATGTAGCTGTCCAGGCTGCTCAGCTGTTTTAAAGGTGCTTTAAAGTTCTTATTGGATGTCATCATGCTTCTTTATTCATAGAACCACAGCACACAACTGCAGGCTTCAGTGTGACCTGTCTGTAGTATAGGCAGCGGATATAACCACGTCACGTGACTATCAGGAACTAAAGGCATCGAGAATCTGTCTGTGGGGGTGTGTTGGCCATCTTTTACGGTTCCTTTTTTTCTCTCATCTATTATTTCACTTTTTTCATCTTTAGTGTGCTGTGGACAGAAATGGTGCATCTTCCCTATTGTTGTTTCCTTTTTTTAACTTTTAGCTAGAGTATTTTGCAGTCGTCTGAGAACAAACATGCATGAACAGCCACAGTCTTGACAAATCTCTTTCATCTGTTTCCACATCTGCACAGCTTTCACTTCTCTCTATCTTTCTGTGAACAATCACTTGTTAAGTGGTCTACCCAGAGGACTTTTCTGAAAGCTCAGCTGGCATAGTGAGAAACAGGTGACATGAAACCCTCAACACTAGAGCAAACAACCCGATTCACTGAGGTTTATAGCTTCTGAAATTCCATTCGCAAAATGTCTGGTGTGAAAACTGTCTGGTGTGTAAAAACTTTTAAACGCCCCTTCTGTTCTTAAAGGTACAATTTGTAGGATTTTTTGCAGTAAAATATCCAAAAACCACTAGGCCAATGTTATATATTTTGTTTAGTTGATTACTTACAATATCCCCAATGTTTCAAACTATTTGTAAATCGTGAGAAAATTGCGATTTTAACCAAGGAAACGGGGCGTGTGAGCAGGGGTGAGTATAATGGCGTCATATCCTCGTTACCCTCGGTTTTCGCCAGGTTTGACCTCGTACTGCCATCGTAACCATGGCGACAGACGTTGACAACCGGGTTATGCCGTTATGCCTAGCAGAACGCTCACGCTGTTGTTGTTTTGTTCATACATTATGGACCATGGCAAGCAGACTTTGAGACAAAAAGAGGACTAAAACGAAGATCAACATCTTTCGAGATGCCGAGAGCTCCACGTCCGCGACTAACTTATACTTGACAGAGACGCTAGACAGAGAGTGTTGCATGTACTTTATTAGACAGGTGAGCAAATGTACATAAAACTAATCAATGTTATTTAGTTCAACATGATGAAATGTTAGAATATGATCTGTATGTTATTCTAATGTTGATCTAGCTTACTTAGTCTCATACAGCCAACACACAACCTAACTAACAACATTCAACACACTCAAATGCCGTTTAGTGTGGTAGTGTAACTGTTAGAGCAAGTAAAACAGCACTGTGTTACCTTAAGTTTCATTCGTCTAATAAACTGACATGTGTGAGTATGAATTCAGCAACTTGCGTGTAGTTCGGTAGAAAGAAATGTCCTTATTATTTTATATCCACGGGACTCGCGTTGCGTGTGGCGCTGGAATACGTCTAGCAATCGCGCCCTGCTTCATACCACAGTCATGTTAAAAACATCAATGTATTCACTCATCCATAAAAGATCCATCAGCTTGACGACAAGATCCATAATTCAGCTTAATGTGGAATATACGTCATCAACATACGCCATTGTTATTGTAAGAGGTTAGCGACCCCTGGTGGCGAAAAATCCTGCATATTGTACCTTTAAATGGTAGGGTCATTTTAACCTACAATCCCCAAACTCGGTACATGGGGGAATCTAAATTAAGTGCATTTTACTTAAAACAAGTAAAAAATAATCTGCCAGTGGGGTAAGAAAAATAACCTTAATGCAAACGGAAACAAGATTATTTTTCTAACCCCATTGGGAGATAATTAGCAAAATTAGAAATGCACTTAAATTTGTAAATTAGTATTAGACTAAATAGCTTATGTCATTTTTCTTGTGTAGAAAATGCATCTTGATTTAAGAATCTTTTGATATTTTGACTGGAAACAACAAGACAAAAATCCTAAGTAAGAAAAGCATTTTTTGCAGTGCAGGTACATTCATTGCGCATATTTTCATCATCCAAGTGACAAAAATGGCATGTCCTTTTATACAGGATCCTGTTGATGAGGAGGCTGCATTCATTCGTAGGGAGTTAGATTTACGTTGGGAGAGGATTTTTAAAGGGTAGTTCTCTTACGAGAGGTTCTCTCGTATTGCGTAAGCTAGCTTACGCTGCGGGAAAGATTCATCTTTGCTGAGATATTGAAGCCAAAAAATTATTTCATAATTTTGTATCCATACACAACGCAGTTCCTCTGCGGCAGACCTAGAGCGGGCTAGCTAGCAGCTCATTGGTTCGCTCAGAGAGAACTGCTTAAGCCTATGGGAGAGCGGGGCTGAACCCGCTTCCAATGAGAGGCGCCCGCGCGCTCATTGCGTCATGACCCGCCAGAATGGGCGTGGCCATGGTGTATATAAGGCGCTCTCCCAGGCTTATATGTTGATTCATTTCATCTTCAGCAAGCTGCACGCTTCTGCTGTTCCTGAGAAAAGCCATCGCCGTCGAAGAAGGCATCCTCTAGCGAGCTCAAGGACCCTGAAGAAGCCGGCCGTCTTCGCCACCTTCAGCCGCCCAGCAAGCTAGGCCATCCGACGATTGTATCCTTTCTCTATTTCTAAAAGAGCCGAGCGTCTTTTTAAAGATGTCTCGTTTTTCCTGCGGCTCTTGCCGCGCTCGTCTCGAGGACGGAGACCGCCATGTCATCTGCGCTCTCTGCTTGGGACTCGAGCATGCAGAACTCGCCCTCGCTGATGGAGGATGCGACCTCTGTGAAAGCCTGCCGTTATCGTCCCTGCGGGCACGACTTCTGGCAGTGAAAACCGCTCCCGCGCCGCCTATTCTCTCGCCGCGTAAAAAGAAACGCCGCTCTCAAAGGCCGCCGGAGCCCCCAGCGGAAACATGCGGGCCGCCGCCGCCGCCTCCCGCTTCCCGCTCTCCCTCCCCGCCCCTGCCGGACATTCAGTTGCCGCCGAGTGGCCGCTCTGTTGTTTCCGATGACGCCGCGGAGGAGAAGGACTCCTGTTCACTGCTCGCTTCTGACAGTGAAGACTGGTCATCTCTCGGATCCGCGAGAGAGTCGACGGGGACCCGCGCCGGGATAGAAGAGGAGCTGATGCGCCTCCTCTCACAGGCCGTCGAACGCCTCGGTCTCGAGTGGTCTCCTCCACCCGAGCAGGCCCCGAACCGAATGGACGGTAGCTTTTTTCATCGGCGCTCGACCCCCGCGTGCACCCGGGCCGCTCCATTCCTGCCTGAACTTCACGCAGAGCTGACAAAATCCTGGAATGCACCGCTCTCGGCTAGAAATCGCTCCGATGTATCCGCCTCGCTGCGCTCGGTGGACGGAGCCGCCGAGAAAGGCTATGCAGCCATGCCGCCCGTCGAGGACTTGGTCGCCACACACCTCTGCCCGCCCTCCGCTAGATGGCGTTCTTCACCCACGCTTCCTTCGAAGACTTGCAGAGCGACCTCGAGCTTTCATGCTCGCGCTTACGCCGCCGCCGGTCAGGCCGCCGCTGCGCTTCACTCTATGTCTGTCCTCCAAGTGTTACAGAGCGATATTCTCCGTGAATGGGCCGAAGGCGGTAGAAAACCCCCCCCCGCCGTCACGGATTTGAGAAGTGCTACGGATCTCGCCCTTCGCGCCACTAAAGCCGCCGCACAAGCTCTGGGGAAATGCATGGCCAGCCTTTGTGTTGCTGAGAGACACTTATGGCTCACGCTCGCCGACATGGGAGATTCTGAGCGCGCCGCGTTTCTCAACGCGCCCCTCTCCCCGACGGGCCTGTTTGGATCTGCCGTCACGGGAATTGTCGATCGCTTTTCTGAAGTACAGAAAGCTTCTCAGGCGATGAACTTGTTTCTACCCCGCCGCGCTAGCTCTTCAGCGGGCCGCTCTCACGAGCCCTCCGCCAGAGCCCCATCACAGCGCCCCCCTCCGCAGACTCAAACAACTCAGCGCAGTCAGAGCGGCCGCCCTCGCCCTCGCTCTCGCTCTGACAGCCGCCGCAGACCGCCGCCCCCCCGTGGCCCGCGACCCAAGATCACGCTGAAGCCTGATCATCAGAAGTCTGCCTAACAATGTCAAGAAAACGACGGTGCTCTCCCGCCGCGGCCGGACCGCCGTCAAAGCTTCGCCCTCTGCCAGTCCCCGTTATTTCGCCGACTGCTGTAGTGTTGACCGCCACAAACAAGCCGGTGTCCCAGCCCGCTTGCGAGCGACAAAAAGCCGTTTTTACGGCTACCCAGAGAAATCTCAAAAAGAGAAATTTTGCCAGTTGTGTAGAAAATGTGCCCACAATCATGTGTTCACCCATACACACAAGCATAACATATCCCGTGTCTCTATCAGAGCCCCATCACATGAAACGGGCACAGCCCGCTCTAATATCAGAGAACATAAACACGCCCACGAGCTCGTGCACGTGTCCCCTCTCTGCTCGCTCTGTGTCACGGCCCATAGACTCCTCTCTGAGTGCAAATCCCGTTGCCACACACATTCAAAGCGCGCCCACACACTGTGTCCAGCCCGCTATGTGCAGCAATCAGGGCAATACAGCCATTCGGCCACTAGCCGCATGCTCCAAAGCGTGGGAAGCCATTCCAGGCATTTCCCCGTGGGTGTTAAGCATTATAAAGAACGGCTACCTGCTACAGTTTCGCCGCCGCCCGCCTCGTGCGCGGGCGCAGCTCGAATCTTCTGTCAGCCCGCTGGCCGCCGGCACGCTCCGCTCAGAAATTGCGACGCTGTTGCAAAAGGGCGCGATAGAGAGAGTCCCGCCATCTATGACCGAGTCGGGGTTTTACGGCCGTTATTTTCTGGTTCCCAAGAAAGACGGCGGCCTCAGACCGATCTTAGATCTCAGGTCTTTGAACAAAGCGCTCATGAAGAGACCGTTCAAGATGCTCACTACCAGGAAACTCCTCGCGCAGGTGCGCCAAGGGGACTGGTTCATATCTCTAGACCTGAAAGACGCCTATTTTCAGATCCAGATAAATCCCCGTCACAGGCCATTCTTACGTTTCGCCTTCGAGGGTCTTGTTTATCAATACGCCGTTCTCCCGTTCGGCTTATCTCTGGCGCCCCGTACATTCACGAAGTGCATGGATACGGCGCTCGCCCCCCTGCGAAGCCAGGGGCTGCGCATTCTGAATTATCTGGACGACTGGCTGATTTTGGCCCAATCACAGACGGAGCTTCTGTCGCACCGCGCAGTTCTCCTCGACCATTTGGAAACGCTGGGCCTCTCTGTCAACTGGACAAAGAGCTCCCTTCATCCCAGTC